CACTGATCTATAATCAGAAACAGGATCAAGCATCAGCACAGTTATTTTACCATGTGAAAAAATAATAGAAATTTTCTTCCTGGCAGCTGACAAAATACTCTGTGTCTTAGGGAACTTTGCTAGAAGGGAACATGGATGCTAGAGAAGACAGACATGCTAGCTAAAGCTGTTCCTAGGATTCATATGCTGAGGAACTACATGGGCCTCTCTATAGTAGACCTAAAATCCAAGCATATCAATCATTACATTAAATATAAGTGATCTAAAGTAAAAGATAGAGATTGTCAAATGAATAAAACGAATAAAAATATCACCCAACTGTACGCATATATCTCCCTATTTGCATACAGAAATATGTATGATTATATGTGTCATGTTATGAAAATCCCAATAGTCTACCTCAAATCCTATAGAACTAGAGGATGGTGGTATTTATAAGGTGATGGACACATATGTAAGAACAGAACAGAACAGTCAAAACATAGAATAGAACAGAATAGCCAAAAATAGACCAACTGGTAGCCAACTCACTTTTGGCATTGGTGTAGAGGCAATTCGATATATAAAGAACAATCTTTTCAATAAATGGTGTTGGAACCATTGAGCTTCTATATGCAATAGAAATTAATCTAAAACTAAATTTCATCATATGTGTGTTATACAAGAATTAACTCAAAATTGAATCATAGATAAAAATATAAAACTATAATAGTTTTAGAGCAAAATATTCATGGCATGAAGTTAGAATTTTTAGACATGACACCAAAAGCATGATCCTTTTAAAAAAGATTATATATCTCTCATTTTATGTTAGAGAGTCATAAAAATGATGTCTCAGGATACAAAACCAATGTGCAAAAATTAGTAACATTTCTATACATCAACAACAGTCAAACCAAGAGTCAAATCAGGAATGTACTCCCATTCACAATTGCCACAAAAAGAATAAAATACCTAGGAATACAGATAACTAGGGAAGTAAAAGATCTTTACAAAGAGAACTACAAGACACTGCTCAAAGAAATCAGAGATGACACAAACAAATGGAAAAACATTCCATACTCATGGATAGGAAGAATCAATATTGTTAAAATAAATATTGTTAAAAAGCAATTTATAGATTCAATGCTATTCCTATTAAACTACCACTGACATTCTTCACAGAACTGAAAAAAAAAAACTATTTTAATATTCATATAGAACCAAAGGAAGAGCCTAAATAGCCATGGCAATCCTAAGCAAAAAGAACGAAGCTAGAGGTATCATGCTACCTGACTTCAAACTATACTACAGGGCTACTGTAACCAAAACAGCATAGTACAAAAACATACATGCATACCAATGGAACAGAATAGAGAAGCCAGAAATAAGGCCACATGCCTATAACTATCTGACTTTTGAAAAACCTGACAAAAACAAGCAATGGGGAAAGGATTTTCTATTCAATAAATGATGCTAGGATAACTGGCTAGCCATATGCAGAAGATTGAAACTGGACCCCTTTCTTACATTATATACAAAAATTAACTCAAGATGAATTAAATACTTAAATGTAAAACTCAAAACTATAAAAACCCGGAAGACAACCTAGGCAACACCATTTAGGACATAGGCATGGGCAAAGATTTCATGACAAAGACACCAAAAGCAATTGCAACAAAAGCAGAAATTGACAAATGGGATCTAATTAAACTAAAGAGCTTCAGCACACCAAAAGAAACTATCAACAGAGTGAGCAGACAACCTACAGAATGGAGAAAGTTTTTGCAAGCCATGCATCTAACGAAGGTCTAATATCCAGCATCTATAAGGAACTTAAACAGATTTACAAGCAAAAAACAAACAACCCCGTTAAAAAGTGGGCAAAAGACATGAACAGACACTTTTCAAAAGAACACATACATGCAGCCAACAAGCATTTGGAAAAAGGTCAACATCACTTATCATTAGAGAAATGCAAATTAAAACCCCAATGAGATACCATCTCACACCAATCAGAAAGGCTATTATCAAAAATTTTGAAAATAACAGATGCTGGCAAGGTTATGGAGAAAAAAAAGAACGCTTATATACTGTTAGTGGAAATATAAATTAGTTCAACCATTGTGGAAAACAGTGTGGTGATTCCTCAAAGTCCCAAAGACAAAAGTACCATCTGACCTAGCAATCCCATTACTGGGTATGTACCCAAAGAAAAACAGATTGTTCTATTACAAAGACACATGCATGCATATGTTCATTGCAACACTATTCACAATAGCAAAGACATGGAATCAACTTAAATGTCTGTCAATGATAGACTAAATAAGGAAAATGTAGCACACACACACCATGGAACACTAGGCAGCCATAAAAAAGAATAAGATCATATCCTTTGCAGGGGCATGGATGAAGCTGGAGGCCATTATTCTTAGCAAACTAATGCAGAAACAGAAAACCAAATACCACATGTTCTCACTTATAAGTGGGAGCTAAATGATGAGAACACATGGACACATAGAGGGAAACAAACCACACTGGGGCCTATTGGAAGGTGGAGGGTAGGAGGAAAAAGAGGATTAGGCAAAACTAACTAAAGGGTACTAGACTTAATACCTGGGCAATGAAATAATCTTTACAAAAAAACCTCATGACACAAGTTGGCCTACAAAACAAACCTGTGCATATACGCCTGGAAGAAAGAAGATAAATTGAGCTTCATGAAAATTTAAAGTTTTGCTCTAACAAAGACACAGTTAAATGAAAAGACAAGCTACAGACTGAAAAATGATATTTTCAAATCACATATATAAAAAATTGTAACCAGAAAAAATAAATAACCTCAAAAACTCAATAGTAAAAAAACAAACACACCAATTAATAAATGGACAAAAGACATGAATACTTTACCAAAGATAAACACATAGTAAATAAACATATGAAAAGATCACTAGTTATTAGCGAATAGGCTCCATGTCATTAGTCCTTGGACAAATACTGATTAAAACCATGATAAGATACCACACAGCTAAAATAAAAAATAGTGATAACAACAAATGCTGGTGAGAATGTGGATAAACTGGTTCTCTGATTCACTGCCAGTCAGAATGCAAAATGGTGTAATCACTGTAGATATGTTTTGCAATTTCTTACATAGACATACCTCGGAGACATTGGGCATTTCATTTTAGACCACTGCAATAAAGTGAATATTGCAATAAAGTGAGTCACACCATTTTTTTGGGTTTCCCAGTGCATATAAAAGTTGTGTTTATACTATATCGTAGTCTATTCAGTGTGTAATAGAATCATGTATGAAAAACAACATATATACCTTAATTAAAAATGATTTATTGATAAAAATCCTAACAATCTGTGCCTTCAGTGAGTCATAATCTTTCTGCTGGTGGAGGGTCTTGCCTTGATGTTGATGGCTGCTGACTGATCAGACTGGTGGTTGCTGAAGGTTGGGCTGGCTGTGGCAATTTCTAAAAATAAGATAACAATGAAGTTTGTGAAGTTTTAATATCTCACCAGGAATTTCCTTGTGGGAAGAATACAGGGGAGGCGGGTAGCTTTTCATCTCATTCATCTTATTTGGGAACAAAAAGGTGGAGGCAGTTTTGCATGACCCAGTTCCCAGCTTGACTTTTCCCTTTGGCTAAATGAGTCTGGGGTCCCAAAATTTAACTTCCTTTCACAGGGTGTATCTGACTGTTCCCCTACTCCATTTTGTCTCTGTTATCTTAAGTAAAATGTGGATTCCTGACATTTTTTATGTGCCTTTTGTTTATGTGAAAACTGTGGGCTTGTCAATATCCCACCCTTTCCCCTTTGAATTTCGAGCCCTGAAAATCATCTTCAGAGAAAGGCACCTGTCTCCCAGGTGCGTCCTTAACTATGGCAAATAAATCTCCAAAAATGATTGAGACTTGTCGTGCCATTTTCCTCGATTGACAGCCCCATGATTACAAAATTTATGAATTAAAAAGTGAAAGATGACTATTCAACAAATGGGGCAGGTAAAACTAGATAGCCATCTGCAAAATAAATAGATAAATAAATACATAGTTCAATTCCCAGGGCATTCCTTCCACCAACACAAATTCCAGATGGGATCAACAAGTACAAGGGACACTTCTGAATGTTCCTCTGGCAGCCAGGACAGCCTCCCCATGACCCTCTGGATCCTATTGAGGCTACAAGGGAACCCTGGCTAAATGGGGAGAAGGAGCGAACTTCCTGTTGGTGAGGGCATTTGGGGAAGCTGAGCTGTTAAGCAGCCACCATTTGCCTTCTGAGCTGTGAAGCAGGATCCTATTATATTTGTTCCCAGAATGGTATGAATGCATTTTAGGTGTTTATAAGGGACTTGGGGATGCCAGCAGGGTTTGTGGAAAAGGCATTCTCATCTAATGTTGGCAGAAGTGCAAATTGCGGAAGTATAAACAGAAGTGTTGCTATAAACACTAGTTGTCTTGTGAGTTTGTTCCTTATTTGCTAGTCCACTGGGAACCAGCTGAAGACCTCGCAACAGTGGTGTAAAACTAGCTGCGTTGTGCAGGGAGATACCAGAGTGGATAGCGCAGGAATGGTCAGGATATTACATGAGTCTGGATGGAGTCAGTGAAGACTGGGCTGGAAGGCAGCTGTGGAAATGCAGTGTACGGGGAAAAGGATTTTATTCATTCAATCATCCATGTGTTCATGCTTTCACTCATCCACCATGTTTTTCAGCAATGATTTTGTGTCAGGCCCTGAAGATACTGTTGTGATTAAAACTAAATCCTGCACTATGCCAGTGGTTTTTGACAGGTGTGCTGAAGAACGACCCAATGGGACCTTATGATGGACTGGGCACAAAGAATGAGTCAGAGGAGAGAACCAAAGTTTAACACTTGGGCAAGTGCGTGTGTGTGTGTGTTTGTGTGTGTGTGAACATTGTCAGCGGTTCATTCAACATCAAGAACTGCACTACTTGTCAGAAATACAGAAAATAACAATGATAACAACAACAACAATAATAATTGAACACTTTTTGGAAACTATTATTAGCTCTTTGCCTGGATTATCTCATTTCATTAGCATGAATGGGAACTATTTTATACCCATTTTGCAGGTGAGAAGACTGAGGCACGCTGAATATAAGTAACTTGCTCACAGCCACCCAGTTGGTCAATGGTGGAGGCAGATGTGAGTCCAGCCAGTCTGACTTTGTTGTCCCAAGGGATTCAAAGTGAGGTTCCAGAGGCAGAGCCAAAGAGCAATGGAAAGAGAACAGCTTGCATGTTTTGATAGAAGAGTGGCCAGAAAGCAGTGGCATCCACATTAGCCTGGGCAGAGGGTGGGGCAGGCAATCAGAAGGCGCTTCTTGGAGCAGATTGCTTCTTCAGCAGAGTCCAGGAATATGAGCAGCTGTTAATAAAAGGAAGAAAAAGGCAACAGCGCTCAGCAGAGGGGAATCCCCTACAAAGACCGAGCTATGCTGGAGACTTTTTAGGAGGGAATTCGGCTGCCCCAGGAAGCTCACGATCTTGGACTCCTAAAAACCTACATCTCTTAAATGTTGACCCCACTTTGAAGGAGAGAAGAGGCCACATGGGTCTAAGGAAGGTGAGGAAGAGCAATCTCTGGTAAGAGCTCGGTTTCTCCTCTGAGGCCCAGCAATTCCAACTCCTCTGGCTGACCCCAGACCGACAAAACAAAACCCATCTTAACCAAAGTCTCAAAGGAAACTGGGGCCACCTCCAATGGTCCAGGGGCCTTCCTTCCTGGGGACAGTACTGATAAATGTGCCTTTCTCATCCTCACCATAATTCAGTGATATTTGCTGGTTCTCCTGGAGACCAGCACCCTCCTGATTAATTGCCCACTCAATCCTCTCTGAGTCCAAGGAGCTGCATTCATTCAACTGGGCCAGGAGAACAGTTTTCATGAAACATGAAAGCTGAGGTAACAATAGCAAGCGAGAATCAGCACGCAAGGAGACACATCCACCTGAGCTATGGGGAACAGTGAAGAAGAAGTTTTAGCAGAGCAGGAACATTCATTGATTGCAACCTGAAAACTTACAAAGCCACTGGAGTTGAAGAGTGCATGGAAAATTTTAGAAACCAGCGAGTTCCTCAGCATGTTCATCTATGTGAGATGACAGTTTGGTGGCCAGATAACATCTTCCAGCAGAGCAACTCCATGCCTGCGGCTGCAGAAACTTCAGGCAAATATATGCAAACTGCAGTCTGAGTATTCTATATCAGGTTGAGATTCTGACAGCTGGAAATGACAGCCCATTCTATTTTTAATTTTAGCATCTTAACCAACTCTTGGTAGGATGTGGAAAGTCAGAAAGATTTTTTTGGAAGATAAACATGCTACAATATTGCATCTGTGGATGGATGTCTCCTAGCAATGAATCCATGGACCCATGGATGCATGTTACCGAGAAGAAGCCACAGCGGATGGGGTGTGGAACTGAGACATGACTGGAGAACTTGTGGGACTTGGTGGCTGACACTGGGGCTCCAAAGAGACAAAATGGGGTACCCCAGAGAGGCAGTGGAAGGGTGTGAGGACAATGAGCCCTTCTTTGGCTGGAGGAGATTCAGTTTACAGTGGGACTTTCAAAGGAATTTGCAGCAAACAGGTAGCAATATAGAATCACACTTCAAAAAGGGAACTTGGAATGAAGTTAACCACATGGGAGTCACATCTATAGCAGCATTAAATGCGGCCAAATTGTTAGTAACTGAGATTGTAGAAAAGGGGTTCCTAAAATAGCATCAAGGCTGGTGCAAGTACAATGGTATTTACAACTTATTGATCACAGCCATTTACAGATTCCTTTGTTCTTTCTCCACCCCCACTGCTTCACTTGACTAGCCTCTAAAAAGAATCATATATATATATATGTATATATACATATATATACACACACACACACATATATATATATAAAATCCCATGCCAAGGGATTGGATTCAGGGGCCTGTAACCTCCCTGAAGTCATATGCAACATTTTATGTAAATGTTACTGAATGTTAAATGGAATTTTTTTTTAGGACAAGTTTCAAAATCAGGTGCCAGAGAAGAACATAAAATTTTTCATAGTGGATAGAGAAGCCACCTGAATTGCTCACCCATGTTGAGAAAATGAAATGTCCAGGAGTCGGGAACAGAGGAAGTACTGAGGGAGGTGATCTACCTGACCCTCACCCGAGCTAGTGGTGACTGACTTCCTGCTTTTCTGGCCAGGCAGCCAAGAAGCAGCTAGGTTGAGATGGTCCAGAGCAGAGAAGGACCTGAGGTGGTCGGGATGTCAACAGGGCTCCACATACCTCAGCCAAAAGAACCAGAGCAGTCTTGGCCGAGGCAAGAGCAACCGGCAGCCAGAACGGAGAGCCTCTGTGCTGCCGTGAGAGGTAGAATAACACCCCACCCGAGATGTCCACATCCTAACGCCACACCTGTGAACTTGTTACCTTGTGGGCAAAAGTGACTTTGTAGATGTGATTAAGTTAAGGATCTTAAGATGTGAGATTATCTGAAGAGGCCCCATGTAATTAATTACAAGGGTCCTTAGAAGAGGGAGATAGAGAGTCAGAGAAGGAGACATGCTGGGATAAGTAGAGGTCAGAGAGAACTGAAGAGACTCTGTGCTGGCTTTGATGATGGAGGAAGGGGCCATAAGCCAAGCAGAAAAAACAGATTCTCCCCTAGGGCCTCCAGAGGGAGTGCGACCCAGCCAATACCTTGATTGAATGGCTGGTAACCTCCAGAATTGCAAGATAATCAAAGGGTGCTGCTTTAAACCACTGTTGTTAGTAACTAGTTACAGCAGCCACAGGAAATGAGCACAGCTGCCAGGGTAGCTGCAGGGGAGGGGCTAGTAGCAATGGAGGCTGGGTAGAGGCAGGAAGGGACCCCAGAACAGCCAGTTTTAAAATTCTGCCAAGGCTGGCGAGCACAGCAGCTGCAGTCAAGTAGGAATTTTCCAGTCCTCTACATCTTCCTCCTCTGCTTGTTCTGACACAGAGGGTCCCTGAAAACCATGACGAGATGGAAGAGGTAGAGGAGATGTGGTGCATAGGGAAAAAGAGAAAGAAGCAAGCACTCCTCCCCAAATGCAAGTCTCTAGGAGGCAGAAGCGCAACTTTAAATCATGTTCGAAGTTTTGACCATCTCCAAAAACTAGCATTTCAATAACTGGATTGAGACTGTGTATATTGTCTTCGAGTCACTTGAAAAGTCACAGGGGACAAAAAGCATAGCCGACTCCATGCAAAGGAACACTAGGAAGTGAGGACAAAGCCACACATGATGACATTTCCAAGTGAAGCCTGGTCCCCATAAGGGGCACATTCTCTGTTTTCGGGGGAGTGGGCTACAGCTTCCATCAGCTTCTCAAAGGGGATTTTTACATCTGCTGTGGTTAAGAATTATGAATACGGAGGAAGAGGTCAAGGTTTGGGCTTGGAGAAGAGCTTGTATTCCGGCCTGCAGGGGAGTGGGGAGGGAATAACAAGAAGAAAAAGCAGAGGGGAAAAAAGACAAGATCAAGAGGGCTGGAGGACACGGTGTTCTTCACACTGCTTACCTCCCCATGCAGGGCCAGGAGGGCAAGTGGGCGACAGGAAGAGAACCCACGGGCTACTGGTGAGATCAACCAAGAGGAAATGCTGCCAGTGCAACCCTGCGGCCGATCGACCACCTGCGCCTCCTGGCCCGGCTTCTTTGGTGCCGCCCTCTTGCCTTGCTACCTGGGGCCTGAGGGAGCTGGCAAGGCATGTTTGCGCTGATAGAAGTGAAGGCCCATGGGCTGCCCACTGAAGTTGGAGATGAACAGTGCCAGTTCTGCACAGCTGCAAAGCGCACACGGGAGGGGATCCAGTCAGACCCTCACAGACATTGATAGGAGGGTTTCTTTGTGAGCCCCACAATCCTGCCCCACTACGTGCTGGATGCTTACATATACTATCCCTAGTCTTAGAACATCTCTGCAGGAGACGTGTAGTAAGTATGTCTATGCCATGAACAACCTAAATCAGACAATAAAAAACAAAATTTCATAAATACTGTCCAGACAATTGCACAATAATCCCACTACATACTAAGCACTTACTATGAGTCAGATTCTGTTTCAATTAGTAGCAGTATGTGGCCAGCCATGAGAATTAGAGACCAAAATTATGGTGGTCGAAACACACAAGAGTTGAAAATATACTCTGATTTATATAAGCAAGAAAATAAACTTTACTATAAAAGAGTTGGGATGGCAATATAGGACTGGCACTGTAATTCCAAAGTGACAAGGGCACAAGGCACTACAATCCTTTCATCTTTTTCTGTTCCATCCTCAGAGCTCCAATAGAGCTGCTGGAGTTCCAGCCATCATGTCCTCATTCCCAATGGCAGATAAGGCAAAAATGACTCTTTGCAACTGAGTCAGCAATTTACAGAGTAAATTCCTCTATGTCTCAAACAACAATTTCACTTAGATCTTGGTCATGAGACCACCCCCACTGCAAGGAAGGCTGGGAAATGCCATCTTTATTGCAGGCAGTCCCATACTCAAAACAAAAATGCACTTCTGTTACTGAGAAAAATAAAATGAGCAGTCTCTGCCATAGGCTCTTAATTATAATACAAGAGTAACCCAATGAAAAGAGCATTGATATCCCACTTACAGTCGCTCAGGGAGCTCAGGGCAGAGGCCAAGCAGACCTCACACTAGGCCCAACTGATGCCCAGCTTCTCACCTTTTTCCACTTTGCCTTTGTGCCACCAGACAAATTGAGGCCGTCCTGGAAGCACAGACAGGAGGTTGAGACAGAGCCTTTCCACAATGTTCATGCTGCAGTCATGCCAAATCCTCCATCAAGAGGGTGTGGAGGACGTGTGCCCCACTGCACTCCAAGGAGTGAACCCTAAGGTCCATGAGTTTGGGGTGTGTGTGTGCAGGTGTGTGTGTCTGTATGTGTACTGTGTCTGTGTGTTTCAGTGTGAGTGTGGGTATGTACATGTGGGGGTGTGTGTCTGTGTGTGTTGTGTGTGTGTTTCAGTGTGAGTGTGGGTGTGTATGTGTAAGTATGTGTCTGTGTGTATGTTGTGTGTCTGTGTGTTTCAGTTTGAGTGTGGGCATGTACGTGCAGGTGTGTGTTGTGTGTCTGTGTGTTTCAGTGTGAGTGTCATTGTGTATGTGTAGGTGTGTGTGTTGTGTGTCTATGTGTTTCAGTATGAGTGTGATTGTATACATGTTGTATACATGTAGGTGCATGTGTTTCTGTGTGTTACGTGTCTGTGTGTTTCAGTGTGTATGTGAGCATGTGTGGGGGGTGTGTGTGGTGTGTGTCTGTGTGTTTCAGTGTGTATATGTGCATATGTGGGGGTGTGTGTGTTGTGTCTGTATTTCAGTGTGAGTGTGGGTGTGTATATGTAGGTGTGTGTTTCTCTGTGTGCTGTGTGTCTGTGTGTTTCAATGTCAGTGTGGGCATGTATGTGTAGGTGTATGAGTGTTGTGTGTCAATGTGTTTCAGCATGTGTGGTTGTGTACGTGTAGGTGCATGTGTCTCTGTGTGTTGTGTGTGTGTTTCAGTGTGTATGTGTGCGTGTGTGGGGGTGTGTGGTGTGTGTTTCAGTGTGAGTGTGGGTGTGAATGTGTAGGTGTGTGTGTCTGTATATTTCCATGTGACTGTGGATAGGTATGTGTCTGTGTGTGTTGTGTGTCTGTCTTTCAGTGTGTGAGTGTGACTGTGTGTGTAGGTGTGTGTGTTTTGTGTGTGTGTGTTCGGGTGTGAGTGTGACAGTGTGTGTTTAGGTGTGTGTGTTGTGTGTCTATCTTTCAGTGTGTGAGTGTGACTATGTGTGTAGGTGTGTGTGTGTTGTGTGTCTGTGTGTTCGGGTGTGAGTGACTGTGTGTGTAGGGG